GATTAAACTTAAAAGTTTGACATGTAAAAAAAAAAAAAAAAAGTACATTAGTCATTCACATCCAAGTGGTCTGATTTATATGCCAACTACTAGAATTTAAATGTTTAGTGACTAAAATCTAGTGCCTCTCTTTGCAACCAAAAGGTATACATTCAAATTTGCAGATCAAAGTATATATAAACCCCAAAACAAAAATGTAACATAACAGCTTTTCAGTCCTGGTGGCTGCTTTAGTTTTCTTTTTTTTCACATTATGTACATTTTCAGCAAGTACAGAAAAATACATGTTTATTTTGTCACCTTGAAACTTCCGGTGCACTGAACTGAAATATCAAACTAATCAGCCTTTCCACCCTTCTTCTGTGAACTGCAAGAGGGGAAAGCGTTTGTTGTCCAAAATAATAGCAGCTTAGGGCGGCAGTGCCGCTCATGCAGCACATGAGTGTTGTCAGGACAGTGTGTTACTGGCAGGATCACTAGGTAAAAATAAAGAAAATAAAGCCTGTGTAGCAAAGGTACATAGATGTTTTTGTTATTTGGACTGGTTCCCAGACATTATTAAATCACTTTATGCAAGCTTTAGGGAAGAAAACATAGAATTTTTAAATTTACTATGGAAGGAAGAAAATTTAGCAACTCGTTTCTTGATGTTCAACATCAGTATCAAAGCAGCAGGGTACACTATTTTGCATACTAAGTGCGCCGATCCTGTTTCCTACAGTCAATATTTAAAGTTACGTAGAAATAATTCTGCAGATCTAGACTTAAAACGTCATTCTAAATTAATGATTGCTGGTAAAGGGTTATAGTAAAAAAAGTTGAAAAAAAAGTTAATCACAGAGCTAAAAGCCCAGACTAAGGAGGCATTCCTGTTCAATCCTAGAAGTTAAAAAAACAACACTACCACATGCACAAGGCTTGAAAAATCCACTCGTCCAACAAGAGGACGGTTTAATTACGTCTTGAGACGCCCGATCGCTTGTATTACCAGCAGCTGTCACTGCCGTCGCCGGTCCCGAGATCCGCTGTGCTCGATGCAGCCGGGACCGGCACAGCTCTGTGACAGGAGATCAGTACACGATCTCCCTGTGATCTACTCTCCAGTCCTGGAATGCAGAAAGTGATGTATATTACATCACTTCCTGCATTAAGTGTCACTTTCCAGCTACAGAAGCTGATGAAGCAGATCTCTGCTTTATCAGCTTCTCTGGGGGTCCCTAGATGACATTAGGGGTCTTGGCCTTCATAAAAAGAGGACCTGTCATGTAAATTGGCTATCACATAGGGGGCTTCTTATCCCCCCCATGTGATAGCAATAAAGTTGTGTAAAAAAATAAAAAGTAATACAAAAATTAAAGAATCATAAAAAATTAAAATAAAGAAGCATTAAAAAAGAAAAATGTTTTAAGTCCTCCGCCCCCCACATACACATGCAGATATCCGTCGGGTGCGAAAACGATTGTGCCGTACATGTTACATATAACCGCGAACGTCGGAGTGTGAGCAATAATTTTAGGGCCATTAATTACTGATAACACTAAACTGCTAAGCAGTAAAAGAGTTTTGTCGCCTATGGCCAATTTTTAGTATGGTCGTTTTTTGCGATTTTGCTGGCGCGCGCAATTTTAAGGCTTGACATGTTTAGTGTCTATTTACCCGACGTGACCCTGTCTTTTATGTTTTACCAAAAATATGGGTAAGAATAGATGTTTTATAACATACGTAGGGAAAAAAATGTTTATTCGAAATTTACGGTACTTTTTTCATTATATATTAAACCCCCCCAGTGGTGATAATATACCTCCAAAAGAAAGCTCTATCTGTCCCCAAAAAATGTTAACATAAATTGCAAGGCTATAGTCCAGTCATGCTGACTGGTGAGACACACTAACATTTTTCAACCCCTGCACATGCATCATTACCCAATGCATTGTCATCACTATTAATACTGTAATAAACTAGCAAAATACTGGTATCTACTTACATCTGTGAGTATTGCAAGTAAATGCATCAAGGAAAGGCCAGAATTAGTATTTAGAACATCCAGGTTGATTCCTGACAAAGGAGTCAAAAGTCGCTACCAAGGTAAGGACAAAGAGGGATCCATACGAAGCTAAGGGGACATTAAAGTGTGGCACATGCAAAACAATGCCCTTGGATTAGTTGGTTACTGGTTCAATGCTTAGACCTCAACACCTTGCCTCATGCCAAACCAATGGTATTATTTACCTTTTATGACACCGCAGGGCATTCTAGGTAGTAAAAACTAAAAGGGTTATTCACAAAAGGGTGAAGAGTTTGGAGAAGGTGGTATTGTTTTGAGTATTGAACAATCTAGGCCAAAATAGCGGTTTAGGAAAAATTCTTCAATTCAGCTATTTTGGCCTAGATTGATTACTTCTCCTGCCTTCTCCCAAATCTTCACCCTTTTGTGAATAGTCCTGTAAATGACACATCTTTTGAATGATCTATGATCACATTTCTCCAATAGAAAATAGCAAGCTATCAAGGCCCATTAGCAGACATGTAGGTTTGTGCTATAATTTTGATACCACATGAATTTGTTTTGCAGCCCTTGACAACATACATGGGCAACCTAGAGCTAGTAGTAAGGCCCAAGACCTTCAGCTCAACCAAGGCATCCTTACCTTGATTGGCTGGATGTGGTTTGAGCTGTGAGTCTAACTCCTCTACTGTTTCTTTCAGAAAGACTAATTCCCTTTTTGCCATCCGAGATAGCCCTTGTAAGGGTGGACCAGCTTCTTGTTCCACCATCTCAAGGTGGCTCACACAGGCCATTTTTCAAGTTTATGGTATCAAGGATTGGATTCCACCCTTTGCCATTAAGACTCGCTCTACTACATCTGCGAATGCCTCTTGGGCTTTCCAGCTTAAGGCTATCGTTTCCCAGACTTGAAAGGCTGCCACCTGGTCTGCTATTCACACGTTCTTAAACATCTACCAGGTGGACATTCATGCCTCACCTGATGCCAGCTTTAGGTGTGAGGTCTTTTAGGCAGCCCTTTGAGCTGCAGGTAGTCCCAGGGTCTGTTTCTTTGAGCAAGTTAGACTCTGTGTCCCTCAAATGGACAAAAAGGAAACTGGATTTTTGTACTCACAGTTAAATACTTTTCCTGGAGTCCAATGAGGGACACTGGTCCCCACCTCCTCAGTGCTTACGACTATTATTTCAGTACTGCTTTGCTACAAAATTAAAGCCGATAGTATGAGGGGTTATACTGGGCTGGCCTACATTTTATTTGTGGCAGTGTCCAATCCTCCTGTGAAGCAGCAGTATAACCCAAATATGAAAGACTTCCTTTGTCCCTCAATGGAATCAAAGAAAAGGATTTTGTGTGTAAAATTTATTATAAAAAGTTTAAATAGAGTGGAAAAGTATTAGAACTTCAGTCAATGTTTTTCTGTCTAAGAGACTCCAGAAACATTTCCTGAATACAAAAAAGGACAGAAGGGCGCCCAACCTAGTGCAGATTATTTTTTATTTTAAAAGACACAAAGATAAAATTGCAGATTGCAGTCTCAACTGCTGTTTCTTCCAAAACATCCACACAAGCTGTTTTATGACCCTCCATTGTGAGTACCATTGCAATTTTATCTTTGTGTCTTTTAAAATAAAAAATAATCTGCACTAGGTTGGGCGCCCTTCTGTCCTTTTTTGTTGTCATTTATCAGGTCATGTTATGCCTAGTAATATTTAGTCACATTCACTAGCCTTGTTCTGTAATATTGTACATAATACCATTCTTGGCGTCAGGAAGTGGATCTTTACATGGGTAAGTTTCTCACATAAAGCAGGAAATGCTCACAATGTTAAAACTAGGGATGCACCGAAATGAAATTTGTAGACCGAAACTAAAGATATATTTTTTAATTCTATTTTACTTTACTTTACTGTTAGGGGGTTTGGGGAAATATTTCCCTTTTAAAATAGAAGAGATTGAGGATACAGAGTTCTAGATCTCTTTTTATGCAGCCTGTTATGAATGAACAGGAGGACTCTATACTGAGTGCTCCTGTCCATTCATAAACTGTGGAGATAGGAGTTACTATGTCCACAACCATAAATGAACAGGAAGTGATGCACTTCCTGTTCATTCATAATTGGGGACACAGTAAGCATACTATGTCCTCAGTTATTTACAAACACTCAGTGATCAGTCCTGATTGCTGAGCTCTTCTAACCCGTTTTCCATCCTGACTCCTCTGCCTTTCACAGAAGGCCAAGCTCTCCCCCTGCACCACCCCGCTTGGCCTCCTGTGACCGCTGACTCTTCCCCACACCACCCTACTTCTCTATCCTGGCAGCTTCTCTCCTCCCCGCTGGGTGCCTATCTGTGTCCCCTCGGATCCCCGTTGCCTCTGCCGACATAAGGGGGGGAGAGCAGCGGGGATGAGAGGGGACACAGACCGGCCACCCCGCAGGAAGCAGAGAAGCTAGAGGTGTAATGAATTATGGTACTATCGGCCTGCAACGCCCAGTCCGGCAGAGTCCAGGTATGGTACTGCAAAGCAAGGCTAAGGAAAAACTGATCCACAGATATCTGCTATCTAAAGACCAGCTCAAGCAGCAATATAGTGAGGAATCTTTACTGAAGTTAAAGTAGAAGGCAAGAAAAAAAAAAAAAAAAGGCTAGCAAAAATTGGTTAGCTCAAGCAGAGCTGAAGAAAAGTTGTCTATCCCCATAGGGGATCCCCAAGCAAAAAACGGAGGCATGAAGGGTAGAGGAAGATTTATCTAATGCTGCCCTACAGATTTTTTGCTTGCCAGTGTCCAATCCTCCTTTAGGCGGCAGGAAAGCCCCACAGTATATGATTTCCTGTGTCCGTCAGTGAAAGAGAAAGAAATTCTATTAGTTGTATTCTCTACAAGAAGGAAAATGCACTTACAAGATAAAGAACTCTGTAGGAATGTCCAGTTAGTTTTGCAACTTGTGTTAAAGATGGGTATTTCCATACAAGTATCTGGTTCTGAGAATAGCCATGAGTGCTCACCTGTTAAGGCAAATAATAAAAAGATATGAGTTTACAAAAATAATAAGAAAAACCTGCTTTTTCTTGCTCTCAAACAACTGTGGTACATTGGTTGACAATGTGCTACTAAGGCCTTAGTTTAAAATATGCCTAAAGATCCTACTCTAAGATTACAACCTGACCTAATACCTAAATACCTCTGACAATCTGTCCCTAAGGATGCACATTTTTCACATATTTTGTGCATCTACTATTTTATGTAAGTTGGGCAACTTCCCAAAAGGCAAAAATACATAGAATCTGCTTAAATATTTTATCAGTCCATAATAATTCCACAAATAAAACAGTGAAAAAAAGGTATACATAAAATAATGTATTCACCGAGTTTAAAAAAAAGAAAAGTAAATTTTTTTTTCATTTAGTGAGGCTTGAAATATCTAGATTTGTGGCAACATTAACGTGAAGTCTGCTGCCATTTCCTTCCCTTCCAGCGATGTGACATCTGCAAGCTCTTTTGACCAATGACATCTTCCCTCGGTCTTCTTCCGTGTGCAGTGTCTTCAGCCAACTCGATTTTTCCACCTCAGGATGATTTAACTCCCACACATGGGTACAGGAGTTAATCTGTCCTGGCACAAAAGCCATGCTGAGATTGTACACCGATCTCTACATGCAAGGCTCAGTGTACAATCTGAAGAAGCATTTTTTGCAAAACAGAGAGAAGGGAATTTATCAAAACTGGAGCAGATGTGCATGGCAACCAATCAGCCTCTCTCATTTTTAAATCTTAACTGAACAAACTGAAGAGAGAAGCTGATTGGTTGCCATGGACAACTGCTCCAGATTTTTTCTGCTTCCGTTTTGATAAATTCCCGCCTCTGAGAGTCTCTTCTGCAATGCTTTCCAGCTGACAATTTTATAACACTACAGTTCCCTCATGTTTTACATGAAGCCGAGTCTGTAGCATTTATTTGCATTCAACATGCTCCTCTGCTGTTTTGATTTACTACAACTGCCCAGTAAATTAGGGATATGGGGGAAGATGCAACTCTTGTTTCACCAGAATACATGGCAATAGGCTGCCTAGTCACAGGAGTACTGTCATGTGGAAGTAAGGCTGCATAGTTTAGGTATGATTAGAGTAGGCTGAAACAGTGTGGCAGAGCAGCAAGTTAAATTTAAATGCAGAGGACACTGCCTTCTCTAGAGTACAGACACCCCCATTAAAATAGAGAAACTTTAGAAACTTACAAGTTCATTGGCATGCTTTGACCAGGCCAGGTTGCAAACTTGAGATCCCGTGTCAATGCACTGGAGAGGCTGACCAGTAAGTGTATTCCAGAATCTGATACAACGGTCAGCAGTTCCTCCTCCTGACGCGAGAAGACCATGTTGGTGAGGAGACCAGGCAATTGCCTTCACTGCAGCAAGGTGCTCTGTGTACTGTTGGACAGGTGTCAAGCTTGAATGATTCCATACCAGGAGCTGAGAGAAACAAATGCAGACCTTAAGCAAAACAGGAAATTTGTTCCAACTGAATGACTAATTATCCATATAGATATGGCACAGATACTACCTTGTTGTCATTTCCTCCAGATGCAAGCAATTGATGATCAGTGGACCATTTGAGGCCACACACTTCCTGCCTGTGACCCTGTAACCGTCTTTCAGATTGCACAGGTGGAGTACGAATATCTCTCTGTAGAATCATACGGTCCCTACTTCCAGAGGAAAGCTGATCTGCATTCCAAGCTAGTGCCCCTACAATAGAAAGCAATGGTTCAAACATGTTGCTTTAGATGTAGCGCAGGAAGTATAACGTTTTGTGTTACACATCGATGACTCTTAATGCATTAACTAAAAAGAAATGCTCTAAAAAGAAGCCACCTTACCAACTCTAGCTGTGTGTCCCTCTAATGTGGACAGTTTCTTCCCTGCTGATGCATCCCAAATCTGCACAAAACCTTTGTGTGTACCTACAGCCACCAAATTTCCCTAGAAATAAAGAAAGCAATTAAAATAAAAAATCTTCTTTGATAAAATCACAGCTCGTCAAGATGATAAAATGCAGATACAATGCCATCTGGACTTCCTGGACGGACCATTTTTTCCCCCACCTGACTTCCAGCGGAATTCCCTTTTCCTATGACCCTGTCTAAGTTGGACTCTTCCTAAGCACTTAAGGAGTGGATGTGGTTACCCCCCTCTAATACTTTGCCTGCCCCCTTCCTTAATGGTCCCTTTCCTTCCTTCCTCCCTTCTGCTCCGCCCTTTTTGTTTCTCCCCGTCTTCATTGCCTCTCTTTCAATCTTCCGCTCTCCCAGTCGAAACGTCACCACGTTGCGGTTGCTTGTATTCCCTAGGTACTCCACTGTACTTAATATATTAAATTAATCCGCGCACCCAAGTCAAAAAATCCATAAAATAAATTAAATAGCTGCAAGTGCTCTAATAATGTATATCATCCAATTTGTATAATATCTCAAGTGCACTGTGTTCCCACCCCCAGATAGCCTGTTTAGCTCAATTTTGTGCTAAAGTGTGAATGTGCAATAGTATCACTAATTTCAAAAAATGAAAAATTACAAAAAAAAAAGTCTATTCATTCATAAAAAAGTAAAAAACAATATTGAAAAACAATAATCTATTATATGGAGTTCTGAAGAAAAGTCTTTGGGAAAAAAACCGCACAGATGCTTAATCAGAGAGTGCTTCCCAATCAATGCTCTTAACCCTCATTTTGAGATCAACAACAATCTATTGTGTTCATAGTATAAGTCCAGCAAAACAAATGGAAAACACACTCATCAACTCATAACCAACTTTCAAGCAAGGTGCACCTGGCAGGGCTTTATATAAAAAAAAAAAAAAAAAGTGTGAGTGCGCTGGGAAACTTTTTGCTCTTGTACTGTATAAAGCCCTTCCCTGTGCACCTTGCTTGAAAGCTGGAGTCCACCTCTTAGTGCCGTGTATAAAATATCCGTCACCACTCTTCAAACCGCCCTCACCAGACTCAAAGAGATTGGAGGAAGTACAGGGAAGACATTCTTGCAACTAGCGGCAAAGGAGATCCTTTTGTTTTTTTTGAGAATGGCTTCACAAACGGGGGGGGACTGAACTTGGGCTGGAGGATTTCGGATAGTGTGAGCGGCTTTTACAAAGAGATTTTTATTTATATAGAAACGCCATTTGTGAGAAGTTGGCAATGTGTTTTTAACAAAGCATGTAAAAAGGGTTTTACACGATGTTGTTTTTTTAAAATCTCTTTCCTGAGCAGTACATGAAATTCTAATCGAGCTCTGGACACATATCACGGTCTGCTGTGACTTAGGATCGCTGCATATCCCTGGGACCTGTAGCAATACAAGGCCGACTATCGAACACATATGGTCACTTTCTGAGGCTGCGGTACATGAAATCGTAATTGAGCGTTAGATACATATCACTGTTCGCCGGAACCTGAAATCTCTGCACATCTCTGGGACATGTAGCAATAGAAGGCTGACCATCTAACACATATAATCTCTACTTGTACTGTGGACACCATAGATGGTTGTTGATCTCAGAATGATGGTTAATGAGCACTGATTGGGAAGCACTCTCTGATTAAGCATCTGTGGTGTTTTTTTCCCCCCAAACACTTTTCACATTGACACTTTAGCACAAAATTGAGCTAAACAGGCCATCTGTGGGTGGGAGCGCAGTGCACTTGATACTATACTCCACTGTACTTGTTTACAGATGCTATTATCTTCCCAGTTTGCAACCCCATATTAACGATGACTGCATTGTTCATGTTTGTTTATGCTCTTTGTACAACTTTATTCTTATACGTGCAATTTATGCACTGTTTTTTTTTCTGTGAATTTTGTTATGTTTCTGGTTTCATCTCAAAATTTCCCACAAATAACATTTTTCCCAACTTATGGACATTAAATGAATTCCTTGGTGAACTCAAACTCTCACAAATGCTCCAATATTTGGGATAATCCTACTCACCCTCTCAGACCAACCCACTGATGTCACAGAGTCCCCTTCTACAGATAAATCGCATAGTCTTGTCACCTGAAATAAATTATAACATTTGCATGTTATAAGTAGAATCCACTATAAACAAATGCACATCTAAGCGTTACCACTTACTTGGCTCGTGCATGCACTCCACAGATACACGCAGGTTCCCAATCCTACACTTAGAACATTAAGAGATGACCAGTCAACTAGATTGAGGTAGAAATCATCTTGCAGTTCAGGGGCATCAAGCACCTTGAATGGAATTTTAGAAATCTTGCGGGTTGGCTTTCGTGGAGAACGCAATAGCTTTTGACTGCAAGCCAAAAATTAAACATTTAGGTAACAATAAATTAGGTAAAATTGCAAACTGTTGTATTACTCATTTTCAGTTAGTTACGGTTTTGATCACTTAATTTTATGTTTTTTTTTAGTGTTGGTAATGATTAAAATTTTCGTGTTCAATTAAATCAAAAAATGTTTTAATCGATTAATTATAACGCACATACAGTTCCAACTACATTGGCCTATACACATACAGCACAGCAATGAAGTAATAAAATGAACTAGGATCACACTAATCCAGCACGTTATTAATCTCACGTGCCCCATTCAATATGGCCGCCGCTTGAGTGGGGCAACTCAGAATAATAACGTGCTGGATTAGTGTGATCCTAGTTCATTTTATTACTTCATTGCTGTGCTGTATTGTGTATAGGCCAATGCCTTGGCTGGCGCTCGTGCAGAAAGTTTCTTGGGCAAACTCAGTGGCTCTGTCGCCTAACGAAGGTAAGGGGGAGGAGTCTGGTGACATCATTGGACTCCTCCCCCTTCACTTTGTTAGCCGTCACGGACATTGATGTCACCGGACTCCTCTTCCCTTCGTTAGACGATGGAGCCACTTTGGGAAGGGGGGAGGAGTCCGGTGACGTCAATGTCCGTCCCGACGGGACTCCCGGAAGCCGGCGGAGAGGTGAGTGTTTTCATTAGCGATCAAAATAATTTTAAAATCGATCAAAAACTTTAACGATTAAATCGAGAAATTAAACTTTAATTTACACAGCCCTAATTTTTTTTATTACTCATCTAAAGTATATCTATACCCTAAAAAAATGTTAACGTTATTTTTTAGCTTCGGATAGAATGCGGAAAGTTTAGAACCGCTGTCAGGTTTTACTGCTATGTAAGGCTCCATTAAGAGATTTTTCCCTCACTTTCTGAGCCAACCAGACAGGAAGTAAGGAAAAATCTGCAACATGGAAGCAGACAAATCAGAAAAAGCTGGCAGGGGTTCAAGCACTTAACGTTAAAAAAGCACTTGAATTCTGTCAAATACAAATAAACCCCACACCAGATGCATGATAGCAGCAACACTAAAATATGATATTATTGAAAATTAAAATAATTGTGTTGCACTGTGAACCAAAGTGTACATCTGACTGCACCCACACATAGATACACTTTAAAAATCATTATTACTTATTATGGTCCTGCTGTGTGCATGTGCACTTCACTGCATTTCTGGCTACAGTTCAGTGCATCTCAATAGGACTGAGGGCCCTGTCACACCATATCCAGTGCGTTCCAACGCGGTCCGAGCCCGGAACGCACTGGATCACATAGATCAGGCCAGGACGCATTCTGAGGCGGGAGGTGGCGTGGCGGTGCCATTCATGTCAATGACACTGCAGGCCCCTCCCCACCCCAGAACGCGGCCCGGCCTGATCTATGCGATCCAGGTTTGGACCATGCCAGAACGCACTGGATATGGTGTGACATGGCCCCGAGTCCTATAGATAAACTGCACAGAGAACCGATGAGTGCAGCTTAATGCATGCAGGACTCTAAGGGCTTTGTTTACTTCATCTTATTCTGGTGTGTTGCTTCAACACGGGTTTTACTGAATGTTAACTTCCATTGTGTTAACAAACAATACATCACAATGTGTTACGGTGTACTGCAATGAGGCTGTGTTGTTAAAGTGTGTTGGGTTGGCATTTAGAATAAATGAAACAATAGCGCACCAATGAGGGCAATCAAAACTGTGACATTCCTCCTGATCTTTTTTCTTTTAAAATCAATTAAAAAAAGAAATTTAAAAACACATCAACACATGTGGCGCCTTTCAATGCACTTTGCATTGAATGTGAACGCAAGTCATAATGCACATTAACATGCACTGTGATACCTCATAACACGTGCTGGCATGTGTTTTAATGTGTTTCCATTGATTTCAATGGAAAACGCATCAATCAAAAATGTGAAATCCAGCCATATACAATGGATAGTGGCATGCTGAGGTTTACAGACTGCACTGGCAAAATAATTAAATTACATATAAGGGTAGATTCTGTTCTTGTATGGCAATACATAAAAACTTTGCTCTAATTCTGCTTTTGTTTCCGATTCCCAATGTGGGCATTTATGGATAATGTTGTCACTGCAAAAAGCAGGGGTCAATCTGATCAAGGATATTCTCTACAGACAATTTGGGTAGGGCATGTATACAGCATATTCTGACCAGAGACCAGTCTTTTCATATAGATATAATGAATATGTTCCCAGCAGAAAATCTGTAAAACTTGTATCATTATAAGAATCTCTGAAATTACCACATACCTTTTGTTGCTCACAGGTGACAAAGAATAAGGAGACACATCATTTCCATCATCGGGACTGGATCTCTTGGAACTTAAGGAATACTGAAACAAAACAAACAGACCTAAAGTGGATGTAAACTGTAACTGAATGGCATTTACTTTACTTTAGTTTAAAGTACTGTGTATCCAAAAACTGCCATCCTTTATGTCATCTCATTGCTGCTGTTCTCCTGCAGTCTCTTCCTGCTTCCATGGATGCACTCCAGTGAGGACTGCATGTCATTTCTATAGAGACAGCAGTGAACCATGCATGCTACAAACAGCCACTTATAGTCTTCATCGGAAGGCCCTGTATGCATGGCATGCATAAGGCCCCGTTCCCACTGCGCGATATGCAAATAGCGCGTTTGTCGCGCGATTTGCATATTGCGCGACATCGCGAGATTTGCCGCGCGATGTCGCGTTCAAGCTTGCATTGAGCAAGCTTGAATCGCGGCTAAATCCGCTCAAAAAAGGGTCCTGCTGTAGCGACACACGACAGCAGGACCCTTTGCCCCATTGGATTGCATTTGAGCGCGATATCGCGGGAATTACCGCGCGATAAATCGCTCAATGTGAACAGGGTCTAACTGTGACTCAAAACACAGTGTTGTCAACCTATAACAGGGAGTGCCAGGAAAAGGACCTTCAGGTATTGTATTAATGAGAACTACAGATTAATAAAATATTGAAAAGAACTTTAGAACTTACATTCACATATTAAAGCTTATACAAGATTTTAGGGATTAAAAAAAAAAACAAAAAAAAAACAAAAAAAAAACAACCCAGTCTATATCAATTGGAGAAAGGAATGCGTTTGTGTAAATAAAAAGTCAAAAGTCTGCATCTAAATAGCAAATTGTGTACAGCAGCATTTCATTAAAGGATGAAAACAATTGCACTGCTGCTGATCGAAGCAAAGCTAGTCTGTAAAGTGCCCAAGGCAGGCATGTCATACTGGTATGGTTTGGGAATCTGGTTCTCTTGCTGCTCCTTTATATCCCTCAGTAGTTTAGGAATTGAAATTGAATGAGGCCCCTACTGCTCTCCAGTTGATAAACAGCTACAAATTCTTACACAGCTTTTTAGCTTGGTACTTTAGGATATGCTTTGTGTGTCTTTTCTCTAGGAACAAATGTTGGAATTATTACTTGATATTAATTGCCATTCTGTAAAGAAAGTGTCAAAATCTGTTAATATTTACTTTTTCAGAATACCGGAGGACTCCAAAAATTGCTGTTCTGGAAAGAGTGACCAGATTCATAATCATAAGACAAAAACATGGTTAAAAACCAGATTCATAGTCACTAGGTCAGCCCCATCTACATCTATTCCTTGTACTTTACAATTAGCACATTATTGCGATAGGTGGCCTGCTTAACCGAAGATAGCAGAGATGTAGTACTTCTAAAATGTCTGCTCTTTGAAAAAAAAGCAGGTTCAGATTTTTCTTGGTGGACACATGAGCTTTAAAGTTGAACAGGATCCAGCCAACTTGCGATTTTTAGAAGGAGAGGTCAACAAAGCAGGCCTGCATATTTCTCTCATAACAAGTTTCCTTTAAAGCACAGGTCAATGCAAAAGAATTACCCATGTGACTATTTAAAAAGAATAAAAAAAGCAGGCTACCATTGCTGGTCTCTCCTACAAAAATTATTTTTGACTGGTTGTCGTACTGATCCAAATGCTTCAGTACTTTCAGAGTAACTGATCCAGAATAAATATTCAGATTGAGTGATCAGACTTAACTTGCTGTATACCTGTTCAGCATCAATGACGTAAAGTATCTAAAAATCAATATTTTCTTGCCTTGGATAAAATTAAAAGAAAATTATTAGAACCTGTCAGGTCCGTGTGCCACCTTACCTTTAGGCCTGGTTCACACCTGGGCGTTTTTGAGCAGTAGAAAAAGCGCTTCCAAACGCCCAACACAAGAAATCCCTTGATTTACAATGGCCCCTGTTCCCACCCGAGCAGCAAAACGCCAAACGCAGAAAAAAAAGTACATCTCCTTATGGCAATTTGCTGCTCAAATTTCCCCCATAGACTTCAAAGGAAATTGCAGGAAATGTGCGGAAGAAGAATGCTGCACATTTTTGTACGCATTTTTACGAGCGTTCCTCCATTGACCGCAATGTTTCTTAAGCTGCCACTCAAAACGTGTGTCCTCATGTGCGCGGGCAAAAAAAGCTAGCTGTACCCACGTATACATATGTGCAAAAACGATTATGCCTTGCTGTGAACGGGGTCTTACATACTGCACCATTGATGTAACAACAAGTAAGAGGCAATCTCTCCAAAGTAAGGGACCCCCCATTGACAGTTGTAACTGGAATAAGTGTCCCAATTGGAAGAATTTACCTCTATTCATGTTCTGGTGACAATTCAAAATGTAGGACTTTGCCTTACTTTCAGTCAGGCAACAATGGTCACAAGCACAAAGAGTGAAGCGTATGTCTCTTACGGTCTTTTAGCTTTTATGAACCTAATTTGTAAACTATTACAAACCCCATTTGTAAATTCGGTTTTGGAGAGATAAAGCATACAAAAGACCAAAGTGGTATCTGGCGTCAAGCCAAGAGGATGAAAAATAAAGCAAATCATAATTTATCCTCTAAAACAGTTCTGTCTTAAGAAAATGCCTACTATCTAATATTAAAAGACACCTCCAAAATTACTTCTATTCAACTTAACATTGGCAAGTGTCTGATAATACGGTTTCGGGAAACCTCTTACACCTTGAAAACTGTCATTAATGGATAGTTTTTTCTAGAGTACAAAGTGTTAAAAGAGACCCCATTATCAACTTAAACTGCAGGAAACTGACAGAAAAACAAAAGTATTTTAAATCTTTGCTTGCAACATTTTTCATTTGTATAAATTATTTGTATTCACTTGCAATGTACCTTTAAATTGGCTAGAAAATTTTACTACTCAAGAAATAGTGTCACTTCCCTAGCACAGCCCCCTTTCCTTTTCTCAGTGTCTAATGACTCTTTGTGCTGGCAGTGCTCATCCGCTCCTCCCTACATAACCTTTTTTGTAGCGGTTGGGGGACAAACAGTCTGAAATTGCAAATTTAAAATAGTGCATGCACACTTGCAAAACTATATGCCTCTCCAGAAAGTTCTCCCAACTGCTTTTGTATCTGGATCTGGAGATCTCCTGTCTTGAGCCACAGCCCAGAGGTCATAGACTTTCCACACCGCGCTCCTACATTTACAAGAAGGGTAAGACTATAGAGTTAACTAGGGCTCCAACAACTAATTGATTATGAGAATAGTTGGCAACTATTATCATTGTCGATAAGTTGAGAGGGCGGGAAAGCGAGAGAGGTTGTTTTTTTTGGGGGGGGGGTTTTAATGCAACTCATCGATTATTTGAAAAAAATAATCGGCAACTAATCAATTACGAAATGAATCGTTAGCTGCAGCCCTATATGCAAGTTTACAATGTAATGATTCATTCATTTTTCTATGAGTTGACTCTTTATTTTTTTCTTACAAAATTTTTATTGGATTTTAAGTTGCAAATAAACAAACAAAACATAGAGAACAGAAGCGAGCTGACGCAGCAGTGAAAGTACAGCACAAGTGAACATGCAAACTGAATGGAAGGGGGGGGGGGGCAAGAGAGGAGGGGGAAGATATTTTTTTTTTTAATGCAACCAATCGATTTAGTTGAAAAAAATAAAAATCGGGCAGCTTATCGATTATGAAAATAATCGTTTGCTGCAGCTCTAGAGTTAACATCTTAGCAGTGTGTAAAAGGGGTTCAAAGTCTGTCATAAAGCCACATAATACACTCTTTTTGTATTCAGTATACAAAGCTACAATTAAGTACCCTTCTATAGCGAAGAAGCCTCTCTTGGCTAGTTTAGTATTCAGAGATGATGACTGCAGGCACATACCGCACCCTAACATGAGGCTTCCAGATATTTGAGCCCTGTCCCGATATATATGCACACCTTACAGGAAGCAGGTACCATATATTGAAAAAAATCACATTTGTTAACTAAACATATGGATTGACAATTTAAGAACTAAGGCACAAAACAGCTTATGAATACATATTACATCACTTATGTGTACTGCATATTGTATTTTTTTACATGCATGCTAATTTTTTGGGATTTTTACATTTTTTATTTCAAATTGCAAAAGCCAATAGCAGGCTGGCTATTGCACCCACCCACTGCCTGGAGGGACCTTAACAAGAAAGCTCTCCCTTCAGGTCCTCTCCTGCTGATTGACAGCAGGCAGGTGCAATAGCCAGCCTACTATTGGCTATTGCAAGTTAAAATAGTCAATAGCAGGCTGGCTATTGGTCGCAGCGGCTGAATGGGAGACTTGTCGCCGACTTTCTACCACTGGCGACAAGTCTTCCATCCAGTGGAAGAGGGGGCAGTGGTGGGCACAGGGGATGGGGGTGAGGGTAACTGCAGCTGACAGCGGTCAGTGTACCCTCCGATCCCCACTGCCTCTGCTGATACACCAGGGAGAGCAGCAGGGATCGAAAGGGACACAGAACGCAGCATGCTCCCTGCTGGGAGAACGTATGTGTGTGTGTTGTGTGTGTGTGTTGTGTGTGTGGGGGGGGGTGGGGTTTTGCAGAGCTGATGCGGAGGAGGCTGACTAAAGCCCAGGCGCCAGGATGCAATTTCTAGTCGTCAAGCCCTAGCTAAACATTGCTATTTCCCTTAATGGTGACAGTTCAGGTTATTTTATTACTGAAACTAGCAAGAAGTTCTCTTCAGAAACATTAAAAGTCCTCCCCTGTAATTAGCTACATATATTGTAATGATCAGCACCCAAAGTAGAGCACTTCAAAAGAGCCAGTCCACTCACCAGTTTAAGTTTCAGGGATAACAAATTTCCCCCACATGGTCACCGTTATACAGCAACACAGTTCATAAAATCAATTTCCAGCCTTCTGGCTAGCTTTCCTTCAGTTCTAGTCACCCTGCTAGACCGAGTTTCCTAGATTGTTCCACTCGCAGACTAACTCTTTACCGTTTCTAATGGTCTCTCGGGTCAAGTATCCAGGATGCTATAAAATCCTGTCTATTAAGGCTCTTAAAGTGCTAAACACACATTTACAGTGTGTGTGACCTCCTCAACACCGCCTTAGCCTCGATGGCCTACACACAAGCCATGTCCGAGTACAGCCTCAGTTATTTGCGGTTCAAACCCACCATTACTCAACCCTTTCATGCCCAAAAGGTCATTAATGCCTAGATGCCCAAGACAAATTTTGCAGTATCAGCATGCATCTGTTAACTTGTCTAAATTGTTTTTAAAAACATAAGACTTTCATTTGGAACAATGTTTAATGTTATAATAAAAAGCTTGCTTTGGTTTCTTTTTTATTATAGGCTGACAAGTGTGCAAAAAATATTTTTTCAATTTACAAATGTTAATACTGCAATTGTCAGATACAGTAGCTGGCAGCAGCAGGTTGAAGGCTTATTTTGACAAAAAAAAGTCTTCAGTATGCATATGATCACCATTCCACGGCTGACATAATGATCACATGGTTGGGGACAGCTTTGATTGGTTCGCAATCGTTATTGGGCATCTGTGCTATCGGTGACAGCTGGACATGAGTGTCGGCTGCTCCCTTCTCAAAGAGAGGGTTGTTTATGAATGTATCTTCAGAACAGGGTGTAATGCTTAGAAATGCTAACATAGGCATTTCAGGGAGAGGTTAGACGTCTCCACTGAGCTACCTGTTCTAATCTCTTAAGCACACATTCTGTGCCAGAACTGATGCTTCCAGTGGCATTTACTACATTCTACCCAGTGTCTGAGGAGACACTTTCCCTGATGACTCCCCTTTACCTTTGGGGACAGTCACCGCTGGCTTGCCTTCCTCCTCCATCGGGCAGCGTAAGCGGTTTCTTCCCCCACAGACTGTCCTGGTATTCGAGCTCCACAGGTCCAACACACCTCACAGCAGAGAGCGCGCAGCGGAAGTGAGGCAACAAGCCGCGACGGAAGCGAAGAAATCACCCGCGACCGGAAGTGACGACATGCGCCCCAAGACGAGGCTTGGAACACACCGGAAGTGCCTCTCAGTCCACTGCCCGCTCGATTCACCGCTCCAGCATGCCGGACACCGCTACAGAACCCCACTACCAGCTCCCCTACATCAAGCAGGGGGAAGCAGGACAGGGCCACCGGCCTGGGGGCCTCAGGAGTGGATCCTTTAAGGGAAGAAAGGAACCAGATCCTGGCCTTTCAAACAACATAGGGAAAAACACCCCTCCGCTCTACAGCAAGGCCAGAAGGGAGGGAAAACACCTTCAACAGCAGAGCCGCACAGAGGGGGATCCGTGACCTCAAGGCCAACCGGTCAGGAAGAAAAAGAACAAACGTGACGTGGTCCTGGACGGTAGGAAACACAATCTAAACTGAGGTACGAGGGGAAGGGGAGGGGCTTTTAACTGTTTTGCTAATTGTGTTTCCTGTAGAAGGTGGAACCAATCATCTCTCAGGTTGCTGTCCTGGAAGATGATTCGGGAAATTGATGTTTCTGTTAAATTTAGGTGAGGGCGGTGTGCGTGGGGAGGAACAGACAAATATCACCTTAAGGTACAATATAGTAAAGAATGTGATTTTTTTACTGTAAAAAGGCTCTTCTTCTCTGGTGTAGAAGGCTGCAAGCGACGATCTTCAGTTTGGGGATCCTGAACCTTCTCAATTCCAGCTCCTAAGAGTTCATTCTTGAGTAGGGCAGAGTATGCAAGGCCATCTGCAAGAGTAAAGCATAAGTAATCTTTCAGCACTGTGCAAGCTGGAAGACAATACTAGAAAAGTCCTCTATACACTGGTGCTGAACTTCAAAGATAATTATGGCCCAATTTTATTTTGCCATAGTTCTTTTTAGGCTCATAGGAGGACATATACCAATGTCCTCCTGTGACCCAAAACTCAGCATATAACGGGCATTTGCACGCCATATGCTGACAGCGCAGAGCCGCATTGCGGCCGGAAAAGATCCCGACGTTGTCAACATCCAGCCTGCTACCTGATTGACAGCTGGCTCTGCCTCTCTAGAGGTAGAGCCAGCTGTGCCCACCCCCTCCCCTGTCTGTCCCTCCAGTCAGCGCTGAAGGAACGGAGGGGGGAGGGAGCAATCCCTGCCGGGAGCAGTGACTGACAGTCGGGGACTGAGCGATCAGCAGTATGTGATCGCTCAGTTCTCGTTCTATAGCACCGACGTGTGACAGCTTCATTGTCACACATCAGCTCTAATTCTGGGGATAAGTGCATTTCATTCTCCCTAAAATTCTCCTTTAACGCTAAGGGGAATATTTATGAAGCAGTAAATGTGACACTCAACATTACTGCAGATAGATCAATTACTATTTAAAACACATCCCCTAGTAAGATTCACTTGCAGTGAATGTTTGGTAAATATCACATTCATTTCTTTATAAATATTCCCATAAAATGTTGGCAACAATACTTTTCAAAGAAAACCACTACATTGAACTGCGATACATAGGAAACACATTGGGGTTGATTTACTAACCTTATAAACACACCACGAACATGTATACACCTCTGTAGTGTGTTCCCTCCCAGCATGATCTATGGGTGGAATCTAAACACCTTTGTAGTGTGTACACACCCAGCAGGTGTGTTGTGCAAAGCCCTGCCCTGAATTGCAAGGTGATGTTTAAATTAGCTCTACATTGTGTTGCTTGCGTTGATGAATGCAGGAATGTAAATGCATGAGCTAACCATTTTTGTCTAAACTGTGAAGCAGCATTATATATGCATCATGTGCATGATTTTTCCATATATGGCATTAGTGGAAATATGCTTAGAGACTTTTTGGTTGATAAATACGCTTTGCTGTGTAAAAATCACACGCACCTGGTCACTTAAAGTGAAATTTGACCTACAGGACTAAATCACCAACTGGTTGAAGATCTCCTTGCTACAGTTTTTTTGCTATGTTCCTCCACCTTGTTCACATTAGTGCAGTTGTATTTTTTGGTAATATATATAGATAAATAACATTTAAAAAATCCAACAGGGAAGAAGGAAGGCTCCTGTAAAATCTGCAGATACTGTGCATACATGTGAACTCAACACAAATACTTCTATAACTGCCATTCCAGAGGGAGATAAATAGGGATGTCCCGATACCCCTTTTTTAAGACCAAGTACTTCCACTCATGTACTTGACGATACCAATTACCGATACTTTTTCTTAAAGGGACAGGTGACATTTAAAAAAAAACAATAGACTAATGATTTTAGGCCAATTTGTTTATGATTATGAAGAACTTTAATATAAGACTGTTTTAGAACAATAAAACAACTAACCTATTCATGTATTCAACTGCGATCATGTGGGACCGCCCAGGCGGTATTGCGTCGGGAAACCGCGCAATCTGCCTGGCGCGAATGGAGTACCATTAGAAAATAATGGCACTGCCAGCGCAATCGGCGGTGGTGTACGATTCCATGACCGCCCAGCCATCTGCTCGGTTTTGTGCACGATGACCGGGCGGTCATGGATTGCACTCCACCGCTGATCGCGCTGGCAGTGCCATTATTTTCTAATGGCACCCAAGTCGGGCTGGTTTTCATTTTTTTCCAATTTTTATTTACTTTGTAAACATTTTTAATTTTAATTTATTTTATTATTTTTACTTTATTGTCTTTTTTTTTATTTAGTTACATTTTTAATCAGTTGTTATTTTTTTTAACTTTATTTTATTATTTTTTACTTTTCCTAACTATTTTTTTCACTTAAATTTATTGCTATCACACATGGGCTAACAAACCCCTGTGTGATAGCATTTGGAGGTGACAGGTACTCTTTATTGGCCCTGTCACCTCCAACACAGGAGTTCTAGCACAGCACAGCACTGTGCTAGAACTCCTGTGACAAGAACGAGCCGGGGACAGGGGAGGGAGGTGACAGAGCCTGTCACAGATCCATGAGTCCAGCTCCGTCACTGGGTTGCACTTGATGGACGTATGTCTTTATTCAACCCCAAATACTATGTAACTATGCTCCACGCCCCCTGCCCTGTCACTGCTCCACGCCCCCCTGCGTCACCGCTCCACGTGCAATGGAGGTGCCTCACGAGCTGCCGATAGCTTTTTTCCCTCTCATGTGAGGACGACGTCGGCGGCGCTGAGCGGCAGAGCGTCGCTGCTGTGGGTGGAGCTCCAGGTCGCCGGCCAACTACATTAGACCCCACCTGGAGCTCCGCCCACAGCAGTGATGCGACGCTCCTCCAGCCTGCCCAGAGGACCCCAGCCACCACGGAAGGTAAGAAAAGAAAAAAAACAAACATAGCGCAAGCTTCGGCGCTAGGCATCGGGGCATTTTGACAAGTACAAATTGGAAAGAAGCCGTAGCTTCCAAGTAAACAGGGAGAGCGCGAACCACATGCAAAAAGTGGATCGCACGTTCCTTCCTATGAACCAGCTTTGGCACAGGGAAGGTAAGACAATGTCCTCATTCAGATGGAATGCCGACACAACTTTAGGCAGGAAGGCCAGCCGAGGACGGAGAACGCCTTGTCCCTATGCAAAACCAGCAAGGAGACTTGCAGGACAAGGCAGCCAACTCCGACACCCGCCGAAGGGAAGTGATGGCCACCAAAAAGGCCACCTTTTGTGACAAAGACATAAGTAGAATCTCCCGAAGAGGTTCAAATGGAGATTCCTGCAACACCGAAAGCACCAGATTCAGATCCCACGGTGCCAAAGGCGAGCGGACAGGGGGAGCTATGCGCATCACCCCCTGAACAAATGTGGGGACTAAAGCATTAGACGCCACCGGCCGCTGGAAAAGCACAGCCAAAGCAGATATTTGGCCCTTCAACGTGCTCAAGGCCAGCCCTTGACCCACCCCGCGATGCAAGAATTCTGCTGACAGAAAACAAGCGCGGGGACAGTGCCCCCAGCCTCACACCAGGCAAAATAGAACCTCCATGAGCGATGGTAAATCTTACGCGAAACCGCTTCGCGCGCCCTAAGCATCGTGGAAATGACCGCATCGGACAACCCCCGGTCATAGTTTCCGATTAATCGATGATTGAAAAAGTTGACAACTTTTTCAATAGTCGATTATAATCGATTATGTCGATTAGTTGTTGCAGCCCTAAATGGTATACACTTTGAAATGGCTTCAACAGCCACGCCGTCAAAGCCAGCGACTGTAAAGAAGGATGGAACACAGGTCCCAGGGACAGAAGATGGGGACGCAGAGGCAGCCGCCACGGGGCGTCCACCACTAGCTGAACCACGTCCGCGTACAATACCCTCCCAGGCCAGTCCGGGGCCACGAGGATGACGGTGATGTCCTCGGACGCAATCCGGTGCAGAAGCCTGGGCAACAGGTACAGAGGAGGGAAGGCATAAATCAGACCGTAATGACCCCAAGGAGCCACCAGGGCATCCGCCGCCTCCCCCAGGGATCCAGGGCCTCGGCCACAAACCTGTCCACCTTCCGGTTGAAGCGAGACACCAGAAGATCCACCGCCGGCGTCCCCCAGCGAAGACAGAGCTGCTGAAACACGTCCGGGTGCAGTGACCACTCTCCCGGGTCCACCGACTGTCGACTGAGGTAGTCGGCCTGCCAATTGTCCACCCCCGGTATGTAGACCGCCCAGAGAGCCAGAACCCGATTCTCCAGCCAGGAGTGAATCCCGAACACTTCTCGACCTGAGGCCACGCTTTTTGTGCCGCTCTGGAGGTTGATGTACGCCACCGCGGTGGCGTTGTCTGACTGGACCCGAACCGCCAGATCCTGAAGCCGGGTCGACCAATGAAGGAGGGAAAGGCGAATCGCCTGAAGTTCCAACACATTTAAAGGAGAACTATGGGGTTCTATCTTTTCTTGATTAATGCATTCCTTAGGCTAAATAAGTAAATTATGTAATTTACTATAATTAGCCAAAATGCACAGTAAGGCTGTAAACTAGGGATGTCCCGATGCCACTAATCAGGCCCAAGTACAAGTACAAGTACATCCCCTCATGTACTTGCCGATACCAATTACCGATACTTTTTCTTAAAGGGACAGGTGACTTTAAATGATCCATAGTACAACTACATGTTATGTACTATGGATCATGGTTTAACCTATTCATGTTAGCAGGGGAGAATTGTAACTCTATTGCTGGAGTGTAGTGGAGCTGTGTGCTGTATATATGTACATTGCACACGTCCATGGTAAGAAGAAAAAAAAAAAAACATAGCGCAAGCTTCGGCGCATTTTTACAAGTACAATTACTTGTCAAAATGCCCTGTATCGGGCCCGATTCCGATGCTAGCATCGGTAATCGGGACATCCCTACTGTAAACCCTTATTTGTGGTGGTGGTGGGCGGGGCTTGAGGGGAAGGAGCCCAGAATCGGGGCAAGCACCTTGGTGAACACTCTCAACCCCACAAATTGAAAATGCTCCTCCCCACCGCGAAGATACCGCTAATGAGACCCGCAAACGGGCACATGAAAGTGTGCGGGGTCTCTGCTCTCCGGAACAGTCAAGCGGAACAGACTGTGGAGGGAACTGAGGCACCTAGGAGCACAGGTAGTAATGTTGCAGGAAACTCATTTTCGTGATAATGCTGTACCCAAGCTGCCTACACATATGTACTCTGGTTGGTATCTTAGTAACTCCCCCATACCCAAATCCTGCGGGGTTGCAATAGCTGTCCATAAGATGTGCCCCTTCCAATTCCTTGACCAAATAACAGACCCTGGTGGCCGGTTCTTA